GAGTCCGCTGAGTGGAGTGAGTGGGCAAATTGGTAGGGGATTAGGAGGCAGCAGAGGGAGGGAAGAGCAAGGCCTTGGAGAGCTTTGAAGGTGAGGACCAGGATCTTGAACCTTTTTAATTCCATTTATAATTTTATACACCTCTATGAGATCCCCTCTGACGTGTCTTCTCTCAAGATTGAAGGACCCTGGTTTGTCTCATCGTATTCTCTGGGCTTGAGGAGGAGGAAAAGATCCAAATGGTTGCTGGCAAAATACATGGTTTCTGCAAGCCAACTTCTGGCCCATCTGCACTAGCAGCTGAAGCATCTCTCATGGGATCCACTCAGAGTTGTTCTCTTTATCACGGAGAAATTGGAAACTGTGTTAAACATTCGAATTGCTCTGAGACGGAACACCTTGTGAAGAATGCTATATAAATGCAAGTTGTTGTTTAAAAAAAGAGAAGTGTCATCTAAAGCAAAAGAGGTACATAGTTTCAAAGCTATCTCTCTGATGTTCTTGTATCCCACTCCGCTTCTCACCTCCTATAATAATATATAAGTATATATGTATATATTATTATACTATGCTCAGCTAACACAAGCCTGCTGCTCGTCCTGTGTATTTTCCTCCTCCTTTCCCTCGCCCATCTATCTATCCTTAAATTCCTTAAAACCCATCTCTTTGACTGTGGGTTTGGTCACCTTCTACTCCCATTTCCATTGCTTGGAGTCACTGTGAAATTGTGAAAAGCTCAGAGACGATATTGTACATCAAGGGTGATATATAAATGCAAGTTCTTATTGCTGTGTTGTATAAAGTCTTTTGAGTTTTTAACAAGTTGCAAGATGGATAATAATTATTTTTATACATGTATTTTTATAACGACACATCCTGAAATGCAACAAAGCACAAACAACAACTGCCAACTGTGGTGACTCTTTTTTAAGCAAGCAAACAACTATGAGGTGAACGACCAAATAATCGAGGATTGTTGGTAGGGAACCAGGAGAAATTACTTCTCTTTTTGAATAGCACTGTGGAATTTTGATGTAACAACACCATATCCAAAGGATAGTACTCTGATAGTGCAGTACCACACCAGTACTGCCTTGGGCGTTAGCCCAGACGAAGAACACAAATCCTAGAGTGCTGCACTATCGCCCGCCAACATATTTAGATACTATCAGGATTTGCTTCTATATTTTCAAACCCTTTTGTCAATATCTCAAACCAGACCCCCTAAATCACAGGTCACAAGAAGGCTGCAACAATAACACTTTATTTTTTTTAAAATCCTTAATAAAACAGGAGTCAGTCAAACATTAATTTACGTTACCAAATCTGATGAGGAAAGTACTTTGAAGAATCTACTCCTAAACTTACCTTCTTCTTTCAAAGGCACTTTTCACTCATTACCTCCTCTTGACTCCTGTAAAGGACTTAAACCTAGTTTATAAGCACTAGATGAATGCCTCTAAGGTCTAGAATAAGGTCTGCAAATCACAAGTGGTTTCACTCACCGATCCCGGTGAACGTGAATCACTGCTCCGCATCAGGAATTAGTGAGACTAAAGACAAGAGAATGCGAAGACCTGGGAAACTCTAGTGCATGGGTCACAAGGCACATCACTAAGGGAACGCAAGAAAAGCTAAGCACTGCAAACAACCACTAACCCTGCTGACTTGGAAAGACTTGATCCTGTCACTGAGTATTAGATTGAAAACGGTTATGTTCGTCAAAACCATCGTTCCTTGCTTTGGCGACATGTCGCAGGCTGGTCAGTAACTAAATAAATTCCCAAATTCGTCATGTTGCTCAAAAACAATTATGAGCAATGTCACCCCCGCACAGGCACCACGCTCAGTGTGGTGAGAGCAGAGAGATGCCTGGAATGTATAACTTTGACCAAAGCATGTTACGTTTCCACGGCGATACTCCTCCAAGTCCAGCACTCGAAAACAAATGTTAAAATATTCAGCTGATGCCAAGAGGGGAAAATTACTTTGCGGGGGGATGGGAAAGTGGAGAGCTTGGTTTTAAAAAATAATTGCTTCTAACCATTTCAAGAAGCTGTAGAGTTGTACAGGTCTTGATTTATAAATGACTTCTCCTCGCACGCTTCTTGTATCAAGTCCCTTGCTGCATTGCTGGGATAATAAAGCAACTCACGGGACCCCACTCTCAGTACAGAAGTAAATGTCACTGAGTGCCATTATGATATTGCAACATACAGGGAGACAATCAGAGACTGATCTCTTCCTTGTATCTGGAGATTCACTTTGTTGATCACACGGACAGCATTATGCTGCCAATATGCACACAGCATTGTGCATATTGTTTGTGCAACATTGCTGTGTGCAAATTAGCTGCTGCCTTTGCCCATAAAATACAGTCACACCACTTTATAGTATATCCTGTTTGAGATGTGTCAATGTGATGAGACGCTATATCAAATGCACAGATCATCATTATTATTACTTTTAAAGGCCTGCTATCAATTCACATATGTGGATAAGGATACCAGTAAGCTCCACAGTTGAAGAAAAGTCAATACGTTATTTTAAAATGAAATTGTGCAAAAAGAGGAATAATATTAATATAAAGACAGGGTATGTGAAGTCAGCAGGACAGTGGGATTTGATTTGGATATCCACAAGGAGAAAAATAACAGCGCAAACTTGATGGGTCAAACGGCCTGATTCTGTGCTGTTCTCTATAGTCATAGGACAGTAAACCTTAAAATAATACTTTCCTTAAACTCTAGAAGGGTTATTCTACTCAAACTTTTTTTGTTGTAAAATATTTGTTCAGTTGCAGAAAATTAGGCTTGTTTAATTTGAAACAGGCATCACACATACAAGCCCCATCTTGTCTGGATAAGATTCATGAGCCAATATTTCAGGAAACTAAGTTAATCATTAAAAACAAAGTCCTATCCATGTTGGCCATTGCAATATTGTCAGCACTATTTTGCAGACTAGGATCTGCATGAAACTTGTGTACAACACTCAACTTTATCCATATCAACACTCATTCATTCATTCATTCATTTTAGTCAATTTGTTCAGTTATTTAATACATCAATACACCCAAGAATACTAATTGTTGACTGCCTAGATAGGATATTGTTTGATTGCACACAGGGACCTTGTTATACTGCAAATCTGTTCTAAAGCCAATCTCAAGCTTACAGATATGGACAATTTCTGTTTTCTATTTCAAGCAGTTTTAAGCAGTTTTCTTTACATTACTTGCCAGTAATACCAAGACTTCTTGGCATCTATCAATCATGCTCTACAACAAAGTGGTAAACATTGTGTCATCGTTTTGGTCACAGAGTTCACATTTCGACTGATGAGATGGGCTTTGAGATGGTCCGTGTTTCTTCTCTAAGAATGAATTTGCTAAGGCAAGCTGGTGACGTGGGAGACACCGACCGATAAGATGTTGCAATACATCACTGTCAGCAGATTTAATTACCTGACCAGAATGGATCCATGTTAAGTGGAAGGTAGGGAAAAGATCCAACTACAGAAAACCTTTGTCCCATTAATCGCTTTGAGACGTCTCAATGATGTGATAAGGCGCTATATCAAATGCAAGGAATATTATATATTATTATAAATCAGTGGTTTAGTGATTTGATCCGTGCTAATTATAGTGCTGTTCTAGCTTCTCATAGGTTAACATCAACAACAACTTGGACTTATATAGTGCTTTTCAGGAAGAATAAACATCTTGATTAGGTTTACAAAGATGATGGGCAACACTGAGGAAGGTGGAAAGGAATTTGTGATTTTTTTTTACAATCACAACTAACATTTACATAACGACTTTCACATTGGGAGGACATCTCGAATTGTTTCACATGGCTGACTGCTGCCTGAGCTTGAAATGGAAACTGAGGGCAGGGGGAGGAAAAGTGGTTGAAAGTGCAATTGAGAAAGTAGGTCTGAAGGTGGGTTTTGGAGGTGGGGAAGGAGCAAGACGGAGGGTCGTTGGAGTGCCAAAATGGGGGCTGCAAGATCAATTTCTTAAGAGTTTTGAAGGTAGGAAGAGAAAACACAAGGCAGTAGACAGAAATCAAACACAATTTTGAAGAGAATTACAGAGAGTGGCTAAAGGCTCCGTCACCAACTATGGGGCAAAGGGAGTGAGGAACAAACAGGAGACCAGAGTCAAAGGAACAGAGGATACAGGCAGGAAAATATGACTGCAGGAGATGTAAGATAGTGCGGGGCAAGGTGGAGAAGGGAATTTGAAGATCAGGGTGATGATCTTTAAGTCGATGTACTGGCCAATTGGAATTTATGGACAGATGCAACCTGTTACAGGAGAAGATGCTCGCTGCAGAGGTTTGCATGAGTTGTAGGAGTGGAGAACATGAGTAGGAGAATAGAGTGGAGAAGATTGCAGAGATACGATGGGACAAGATCGTAAAGGGAAAAGGTCAAAATGAATAAATAATTAGACAGTGATGCAGGCACCCTTTGGGGTCCATTTGCTATTTGAGTCACTAACCTGTAATTGTGTCAGTTCAATAACACACCCACAGCAAAAAAAAGAACAACTAAGAGGACTGTATTTCGCCATGGAGGGCAACAGATAAAAATGTAGAGCCCTGCCCTTCCTACTGTGCTATGTATAAATTTGAATCCCTTTGCTTTACGCCTTCTTCTGTTGGGATTAAGAGTTCTGAAATTCCAACATCAAGTCCCTTTTGAGCATCAGAGAGAAATACGTTCATGTCCACCGCAGGGCTTGTGGTTGGGCTTAGCTGTATCAGAAAGTAATAGGACATCCCTATGCTAATGTCAACTGAGTTATCTAATCTAGAAATCCAAGGCCGATTCTCATTGTATATAATGAGACTGAATCAGGCAAAGTTATAATTGAACCAATCTGAGTGAAGGACTCCAAGCCAGTTCACTCATCCCAAGAGAGATGGCTAAACAAGGTCTAACGTCATATTATAAGTTTTTCAACGCTTATTTGCATTTCCAGTTCCACCTACTTTTCTTCCTTTCCTTTCTCTCGTTGCTCTCTGTGCTCTGCGAGTCTGATTGGCTGTCGCTGCTGTCATCCCACATCTCGGATAGATCCTTCATTCCATCTGGGACATCCTTCTGAGGAACCAAAGGGAGAAGCGGTGTTACTGCAGTCCGTAGCTCTGCCTTTGCAATTTGTTTTGCCGTGAGAAAAATCGGCAGTAAACGAAAGAGTGGGATGCAACAGCCCCTTTGAGAAACACTTACTGTTGGCTGATTTTTATTAAAAAAGTTTCTCTTTTCCAGTGCCTGGGCAAATGGGATTTTGTTGAAACACAAACAATAAAAACATTGTTTCTGTCTTTCAGGATTGTGGGCTAGCTCACGATTAATAGAAAAATATCTTTCTCCTGTATGACCAATGCTGATAAAAAGGAAATACGACAATGACTAAATTATAATTTGTGCTTTTCTCAGCACGGGAAATTCTGTTTTTAAAATAATCAATCTTTCACGTTCGCCATTGAGCTCTTGGGCTCTTGAATCATAAGGGATTCACAAGTTAAAGGAGTCTAAACAGGAGTAGCTCATAAGTTATCTCCCATCTCTATATAACTGATACCTCTACAAGGGCTTTCAGCCATTTACCAGAATACAATACAATATACACTTATATAGTGCCTTTCACATTGGGAGTTCATCCCGAAACACTTGACAATTCTGTCTGGACACCAGAACTGAGGGTGGGAGCTGAGTGGGGGGGGGGGGGTGAAGAGAGCAAACATAATAATAATCCTTGTATTTGATGTAGCACCTTATCATGTCTTTAAGACGTCACAAAGCGCTTCACAGAATATACTGTAAAGTGAATTGTCTATATTTTGTGGGCAAAACGCGGCAGCCAATTGTCCACAACAATGTCCACAAAGTCATAAAAAATTTTAATGAATTAATACCCCCAGAAAAACAATCCGCCAATTGACTAACAACCTGGTTCTACTGCTAGGTAAACAGAGGCGTGTGGAGTAAGGAAACTTGCCAACGTTTCGCCCTGCCAGGAATCAAACCCAGGTCTCTCGCTTGTGAGGCAAGTGCTCTAAGCATTGAATTACAGGACTCCAAGAAGACCAAAAGCATGGTCAAAGAGTATGTTTTGGAGATATACATTGAAAGAGGGAAGGGAACTGGGAATGGAGTTCCCGGGATTACCAGTGAACCTGCTTGGATGCAAACTCAAGATGAAGGCCTGGGTTTAGTTCGTGATATTTTTCTGAATAAATTTTAAAAAATTATCTTGTTGCTTAGCCCCAGACTGAGAAGTATTTAGGAATTATGGACACCTCTAAACATAATCGGTTTTCTCTTTCGAGATGCAATATATTACTGAGCTCCTTCTTGGACATGCCAGTGCAATTAAAACAAGTGTACTACCCATCTCCTCTTTCCATTTTAGATGCTCAGCAATTGAGGTTCCTTAATAGGAAACTTGCTTTCTGTGGACTGCTTAAAAAAACAGGCTTTGATTGAAGTTCTACCAATTCTTTCCACAGAAAGATGGTTTCTTTCTTCCCAACTTCAAAGATTATTATAGGGCAGCTCAGCATAAGGCAGTCATATCCTGGAAAACCTCAGCATGCAACAACATGTGGCTGGGCATAGAGGGAGGTCACAGTCATCTGTCTCCCCCATTCCTCTGCACATACCTCTCTTCTCCAAACTTGAGTTGAGACCAAATGGAGCAAAAGGTCATCCTATTGTAGTATTTACTTGGAAGGTATGGACAGTGGTCAGAACCTCAATGGGGATTCTTATGGGAGTTTCTCCTCTTTTTCCACGTTGGCAGTTTCCCAATGTTCCTGGAGGATTCCAATCTTGGGAGGTTGCAATTCTATGGCATTATAAATCTTGGTCAATTTATGATCACGTCCCAAACAATTTTCTTCCAGTTGCTAAAGGAGGAGGTCCAGCTTCCACATTGGGATTTTATTTATTTACAAATGCACCAATTTCCTTCAGACCCCCTCACCTTACCACTCATTCAATGAGTGTACCCCTAAAGAAAACTATCTCCACAATCCCAGCACCCCCTCCCCCCAAACAAACACATCTCTGCAGTATGTTCGTGACTCTCCCCTGCTGAGCGAGATCTCTCAGATGACTTACGGGAGAAATGGGAATACAACCTGGAGACCTCATCTGTTTAATCTCAATCTTGAACAAATTAAGAGAAAGCCAATTCAAACTTTTGCACTATATCCATCTTAGATAGACTCTAAAAATGTAATACTATCTGATGGACTGATCACTTCCTACAATCTCACCATCTGGTGAGCCTGGCTGTGCTTGTGGCAAGGTATGTTTTCCATAGTTATCAAGCTTGAAGTATCCTTCCACAGTGAACATGTGGTCCACACATGTATAGGGCATCTACTGTTCTGAGCATGTTATGTATTATGACATGATGGGCTGATTGGCCTTCTTCTGTAAATCTCTATTATCCTATGTATGGTTTACACTTCCGATCTGACAGAATCCAACAGACATGGACCTACTTTTTGGTAACCTATACTTGGTTGGGTGTGGGGGTAAACCTAGAATGAAGCAGACCTAGCCTGCCATATTTTCTTAGTTTCAACCCACTGCAGTTATACATAAATATAATGTTGATGATAACAATGACACTGTGCAGTTTTGTTGTATTAATCTTGTTGATGTTATTCACTATCAGTTTTTTTTCCATCTTTGTTCTACTGTTTATTTCAGAGGTTTAGTTGCTATTATTATTTATTGTATTTTTTAAAAATAGTTGTTAATATAACTCTTTGAAGAACAGCCTATATAATTTACACCATAACATAAAGAACTGCGTTTTGAAATCCTCTATATGTTTTTTTTAAAAAAACAATGATTCAAAGTTCTGGTTACAAATATGAACCAAACAATTAGTCCCTTTCCACTCTTGGTTTCTTGGACTCATGCAATTTAACGGTCAGACTCCAGCTGACTGCAATTCTTATCTGTTAGAGAATAAATGAGCATGGCTGTGAAAATTAATTGGATAAGAACTGAATATGGTCTTCAATAGACAGTAAAGGTAAACACATTTGTCTTTCACCAAGTCTAATTGGGGTGGACATGGTATATAATATAGCACACAGCAAGACGGCTTCTCTATTACACAGTACTGCTGTTGTGGTTGCGTTTACTAAACAAACACAGCAATAGAGGAGTTAGTCTTCAGTTGTTTTTGCTGACGAATGATGGACAACATGGTAGATGTAATGAAAAGTAGATGTGCCTTTGATTCAATATCGTTGAAGTTTTATATAGTGATGAGGATAACACAACTGCTGTTCTTCCCCCCCCCCCCCCCAGCCCCCTCTCCCCCAACCACCACCATTGGTATGGTGAGCTTTCCTAAAGTGGGAAAGTGGATTTTGTAATTTCTGAAGTGAGTGGACAGGAGAAGATCAGGAAGATCAATTCATTCCCATGGAAGAGGAGAGGGGAATTTTAGGAAAGGTTCTCCACCCACCAAAAAAATTTAATTGTCGATATAAATGATACATTTTTAAACATTTTGGCCTAAACTAATATTCGAAAAGATAAAGGTTATGTCTTTAATTTCAGTTCAAAGAGTCCACCTTGAGTTTGATTGAACTACAATGTTAGCATTAAAACAAGGAACATTTGAAGCTATACAACATTGCCACAATAGCGCTTTTTCTGGTGCGATAGTGGGTACCTGACAATTAAAATAAGATACAACAACTTGTATTTATATAGCGCCCTCCACGCCAGGCGGCGTCCCAGAACGCTTAACGATGGTGGAGCCTGATGCTGAACCAGGGGGAGCGGGAAGGTAACCATAGGCACGGTCAAAGAGGAAGGTCTTCAGGTACAACCTGAAAATGGGGAAAGAGGGGGCGAGGCGAAGGGATTGATAACCGATGTTGTAATAAACCAACATAGCTTAGATAACTGATGTTGTAATAAACTACCTTGATGCACGGTTTAAGAAGTTAATATGATTATGAAACACACATTGGTTCAGATACGATTAACAAATAGATACTTTGGCTTCATACCATCTCTCATTCAGTAGAATTAAGCCAACAATTACCAAATTTAAAATGTTACCATCAATATACTGTGGCAAGTTATTCTGCTTCAAAATGTAATTCTACAGTTTGAACTTAATATGAAAATAAAGTGCATGTTAATTTTTTTCTATTTTATTTCATAGTTAACTCGTTAAGGACTATGACATTTTATGCAAAATAAAGAAATGGAATAAGTTCTGGTTTTAGTTCATTGATACGGTAGGTTCTATTCATAGGATATATTTACATTTTCACACCTGCTATTTTCAGTATCCAAATGAGTTATACTTTATGTGCAAAAATATTCAATGTCAAACACTGCGTTCTCCACACACTTGACAGCTCGTGTTGAACAGACCGGCACAAAGAAACTCAAAAACATGTGGTCAACGCCCTCTTTGCCTCAAAAATGTCTCAGAACTAATACCTTGCTTTTACTGCTGGAAACAGTAATATTGATTTCAAGACCAAAGATCAATACTTCAGTCTCTATCATACTGGTTGTAATTTAAATTGTATTGTACTGGTTGGGGGCTGAGAAGATAATATTAAAAACTAACATCTGATATAGGAATTCTGGATGTACACAAAAAAGCTCATGCACTCTGATAACAATGGTGGATTTTTAATGTTAAGGAAGAAATGGCCGTGCAATCGGAATAAAAACTATAGAATCCAAGAACTTTTATGAAGCACCTTGGGTGTGATACTTGAATTGATTTTTACCATTGTGTATGTGAAGTATTAATGCATATCCAAGTGCCGCAGAAACAGAAATCGTACTCCTTAACTCTAACTCTATATTGGATTATTTGAAAACTCACAGCCATTCAATGTAAACAGAAAAAGCGCAGTATTGATACTGAAGTCACTGGGAACATTGAAACCAAGAAATAAAGCACCAAAGAAACAGGGTTGAAGTGCTCACTAACAGACCTTGACAAGTTGCCAAAATATAGCAATTTAAAAAAATCAGAATCACTTAAGAATGCAAAGTTGGAAACAGCAAATTGCATTTTCTCCCTCCTCCTCTTCCCACCTCCCCACAATAAAACAATACTGATAATACTGATAACAAAGCACCACCATGCTTTTTCTGGAAAGACTCACCTTAAGTGTATAAACTCCCATACGACCAGGTACCTTGTAGAAAATACCTTCTTCTCCTCTAGAATTTGTGTGAAGCATTGCATTCAGGCAGGCCAATGGAGAGGTGCCACTAGGAGGGAAAAAATGTCATCAATCAATATGTGCCACACCGGTAGGTTACGGTCCTTGGATTAAAATTCCTTGGATTTAAAAAAACAGCCTTGCAGGGAATCAATGTTGCATATTAAATCAGGAGTTGGCTACATTTCACAGCTATTTGCTTCAGCACCTCTCCCGTGCTTACAATGGTCTGAAACATACTCCTGACCTTCAGCTCAGAACACACCAGTTTCTTCACAGTCTTGGATAAGGACAGCAAACAAATCCTCTCCGGTCACTTCTAACTCAAGCAAAGGGATTACTTATAAATATCCAAGTCAAGAACAACTTTAAGCTGCCGAGAATTTAACATTAATTGCTATCAGTTTGTTTATCTTCACCAAAAGGATTGAATATCAAACCTTGTGGTTAATGGAGTGGCATAAACTTCCACTACAAAGTGCTCCTTGAAGTAGGATCTGAGGCACATTGTTGGGAGCAGTACAAATATTTGAGTTGTTTATAGGACATCATCCAATCTCGATTGCAGAAAAGATTATCCACTCCCTTTTGCATACGTCAGTTATTTCAAACATTACTCAAGAGATATCCAACGTGTTGGCTATTTAAACTTCACTGCACTTCCTGCTGGCTGACGTTTGTGTGTGTGTGTGTATGCTGGGGGTGGGAGGAAAACTTGAATGCCTCCTGAATGAAACAGCATCACGTTCCTGTTTTGTGTTGGATAATCAAGTGATAATCAAACAGAGCCTATTGCTGAACCTGGAGATGACCTTCTCTGGGGCTTGGAATCTTGTGTCAATTTCAGTCACAATGCAACTCCTTCTCCAGAGACACGCACCACATAATAATAATAATAATAATAATCCTTGCATTTGATATAGCGCTTTTCACGTCGGGAGGACGTCCCAAAGCGCTTCACAGAACACACTGTAAAGTGAATTGACTGTATATTTGTGGGCGAACGCGGCAGCCAATTGCGCACAGCAATGTCCCACAAACAGTCGTAGATTGAAAATGACCAATTTATTATTGTTTTTTTTTGGAGGGATTATTATTAGGCTCTGTGTGGAGTAAGGAAACTTGCCCAAGGTTTCGCCCTGCCTGGAATTGAACTCAGGTCTCTCGCTTGCAAAGCGAGTGCTCTAACCACTGAGCTACAGGACTCCACATGGCCTGCCTGCAGCTCCCGTCTACTCTGTACTGTGCTACACCAGACTTGCAGCCACTCACTGAGACCATCACTTGGTGCGCTACGTATACATGACATTGCTCATTGGCGTGAGACGCAACAAATAAATTAGCACAAATAATAAAATGTCTGTGGCGAAACGTTTCTTCAAAAGATCAACAGACATGGCAACAGATGAAAGCTTCCATGTGTCCAGAGACTATTTTACCTGTTACCATGGAAGTGAACTGAACATAACCTAAATAACTCAATCATAGCGATGACAGCCTGTGATAAGTCGCATACTTCCTGGATCACCTGAGGCAGTCACCATCATGGAACTTTTCCCTTTTGAGGAATTTTTCTCCTTTTATACACAATTGTTGAAACCTAGGATTGGATGGACCCTCTCCCTCCCATGTGCCACCCCCACACACAATTCTGAATGTCAATTTCAATGACACCAGATGATGTATTTGACTTACGTTTAGCAGGGCTGTAGTTTTAATCTGATCTTTCGTTTAGCAAAAAGCCACAGCCCTGCTAACTGGTAGTCAAATTCCTGACTTGATATTCTGTTTAGTGATGGTGAGTGTGTGGGGGGGAGGAGGAGGGGAAGTGTTTCATTTGCAGCGCAGCACATCTGCGTTGAACAATTTAGGCAAAATTTCAATCACAAGTTAGCCCGCAGTATTTGAGTGGTTTCACAACAGTAAGAAACAGATAAAAGCCGAGCAACAAAGAGAGCATTTTATTTATTTTAGAAAATGTTAGTTTCAAAACCGCAAAACTAAAGGTTTTCTCAGGAAAGATTTCAGCTGCGTGGAAGCATGGGTGTGAAGCTGCTGCTCTTGTGATTGTACCTCGTTCTGATGTTGCTTTGTTTTCCAGGTTGATTGACAATGAATGTTTGCTTCCTGGCTCTCCTGAACCTCCTGTTTTCTTCATGCAGTTTGAACTTCTTTGATTAATTACTCATTAATGTAGATTGGGCGAACCAATGATTGAGTAGAGGTTGCTGTAGCCTCTGGCCACTTTCCTGGAGCTGAAGACGAGTGTTGGAGTTGAGTTTGAACGGTAAACAATGTTGCATGTGGTATTGTGATGGAGATAGTTCCAGATCCAGGAAGGATGTTGGTAGTGCTGTATTGTTTACTTCAGAAAACAAGGGGGCTGTTCTTAACAATGTTAAGATTTTTGTGGCTTGAGGTTCCCTTAACGTCGTGGTGGGATAAATTGGAATGGATGGATGGTATCCAGTTCTGGAGCTGGCACTGTGTGCTTTGCTCTCTGGGAAGGTAGNTTTTTTTCTCTTTTGATCTTTTCAGAAGAAATCTAAAACTGTTTTCCCCACAGTCTCCAATTTTAAATAAAAATGGAAGAAGTTGCATCTCAAAGTGCATCACAAATAATTGCTGTCTCATCTAGTGACCGTTGTAACAGGCATGTGCAGCAGCTATCTTCCCCAGAATGGTCTCACGAGCAGACATCAAGTGAATAATAATAATAATCCTTGCATTTGATATCCTTGAATGACCATTTGATCTGCAGGATTGTTGGTCAGGATACTCTGAGAAACTCCCTTCTGGTTCTGAATAGTGCCATGGGATGTTTAACGCCCACCTGGACAGGCAAACATTGGAGTGTGATAGCGATTTCTGATATGAGGCTCGTACCTACAATATTCTAATATGGGTTGTAGGTTGAAAGGAAACATTCTGATGTGACACAACACGACAGAAACATTCTCTCTCTCTCTCTCTCTTTAGGAAGTAGGTAGGTCAAAGTACATGATAGAACAATATGTGAAGTCAAACAGCTTTTAAAAGGGAAATAGGCAAAACCTGGAAAAAAGAAAATTGTAAAAGGATAGAGGAGAAAGGGCAGCGAATGGTTCAATGAATCATTTTTCAGAACTGGCACAATCATGATTGGTGGAATGCTTTTCTGTGCTGTAAAATTCCATGATTCTACAGAAGGCTTTGGATGCGGCTGCTATTGAGCAATGTTAGTAAGATCTTATGCTGAAAGCACAGTTTGTCGGTCCCCTTTGTTGGTTATTGTGGTTGAGGGGAGGGGAAGAAAGAAAGGAAAACATCTGAAAAGTGAAGCTAAATACTTTAAGGTCAATTCTGTTTCTCAATGGGTTACTGTTAACAGCTATCAAATCACTGAAAGTGCAGATTACATCCTCAAAGATAACACCTATTGTAGTTCTGTTCAGCAGTATTTCATGGGCACTGAAAATTTATGTAAATTATTTCTCAAGAGGTACTATCAGACCATGAGCTCTTGTGCAGCATGCTTTTCAAATTGAGCACTGACATAAAGAATGTAAACACTTTAAATCTTCCACTTTAACTCAGCTTTGACCTTCACCAAAGCTCCAGCCTTGATTAACCAAACCACACATCAGGAATCCTCACACTATTTGGTTTCTGGCTATTACTAAATTCAATCTGCAAAAACCAAACAAGCGTTATTTAAAGACCCCTTCTTACCGGTCCAACCAGCTGGAGGTATCTTTAATACTGCCAGTCATGATAATAAATAATCATTACATTTGGTATATCACTTTTCATTTCTGGAGGATGTCTCAAAGCATTTCACAAGATATAATACACTGTCAATCCACTCAGCAATATATCCTGTGAAGCGCTTTGAGATGTCTCGATGACCTTTTACAATTTTCCAGTGCCTTCCTCACCAATCTCCACCATACACAAAATCCAATTAATTCAAAACTCTGCTGCCCAGATCTCACCTGTACAAAACTCGTAACCCCATCATGCCAGTCCTTACCAGGCTCCACTGGCTCCCAATCACCTAACGGATTGACTTCAAGATCCTCGTTTTCAAATCCCTTCGTGCTCTTGCACCTCCCTACCTATTCAACCATTCCACCACCCACTGCCGTGCCTTTGGCTGGCTCTGGCTTCTTATTTGTCTCTCATCCTTTCCGCTCCACTAAGGGGAGAGGGAGGGGGGGAAGGTGACCATAAGCACAATCAAAAAGAAAGGTCTTTACGCAGGATTTGAAAGTGGGGAGGGAGGGCGCAAGGCAGAGAGTTCCAGAGTTTCAGGGTGTAGTGACTGAAGGCACGGCCACCGATGGTGGAACGGTGGACACAAGGGACAAATAGGAGGCTGGAGTTAGCTGAAGGGAGCGTGCTTTATCGAGTGGGGAGGGGATACGTGGGGGTAAGCGGGTCGGATAGGTAGAGAGGTGCGAGGGAATGGCGTGATTTGGCAACGCGTGAGAGGATCTTGAAATCGATCCGTTCAATGGTTGGGAGCCAGTGGAGCCTGGTAAGGACTGGTGTGATGGGATATGGAATTTCGTCCAGTTGAGTATCCAGGCAGCGGAGTTTTGGCTTACTAGGATTTTGTGTATGGTAGAGCTGGGGAGACCAGCGAGGAGGGCATTGGAATAGTCCAGCCGGGAAGTGCGAAGGCGTGGACGAAGGCTTCAGCTGCTTCAATTGTGAGATACAAACAGGGGCGGGCAATGTGGCAGAGGTGGAAAAAAGTGGTCCGGGTCTGGGGAACACTTTAAATAATTCAGCCAGTGAAAAACTGGACACATACCAGTAAAAAGTGTTTGAGAATCTGATGAGAAACTAATTTTTTTTCCTATTATAATATTACTATTTGTATAGCACCTTTCACATTGGGAGGACGTCCCAAAGCGCTGGACAATCAGTGTTTTGGGCCTGAGCTGGGGGTCGAGATCGGGGAGGGTGGAGGGCAGGGTGGGGAGGAGGATTCCAGTGTAGATATAATGCAGAACTATGGTGCAGTCCCGTGATAATGCTGTTCTTCATAGTATAAATTTGGTT